TGCATGTAGTATATAGCATTTGTATTCCTTATTGGGAGTTGGACAGGAACGTAACACATCTCAATACCTTTTTCACCCTTTCCCTGCCTCTCCCTCCCCCTTGGGTAGTCCTCTTTCCATTGCTGAGACAAAATACCTGCCCCTCACAACTTAAAGGACAGAAGGGTTATTTTTGACTTACAATGTCATCTGTGGCTGAAAGCTCTGAAGGACCTCAGAGGCTTAGGTGATGCTTATCTCTGCATTAGGAATTAAGTGAATTCGGTGACAGGTATGATGGCTTTGACAATCCATGGTCCCACCAGCAGAAAGAACAGCACTGTTGGTAGACTTTGGAGAAGATCTACATCTGTCATTTCCATGGGATTTGGCAGGCCAGCCCATGCCCTACTTGCCGCCTTGCCTTTGATCATTTTATGGAGAGGTTTTTCTCCTTGGCAGAGGGCCCAGAAGAGCCAGTAAAAAATGGATCAATTTGGAGCAATGCAAAACTTCTAGATATAGGTAACACCAATGGTTACACAGCATCGTGCATGTACATTAATACCCCTGAACTCTATGCTTAAGAACAGAACAGTAGATTTTGTCTTATGTGAATTGAATCCCAAATAGAAAATCTTTTGAAGTGTGAAGAAGAGCGATATAAACAAATCACTCATAAATGGTAGAGTTCATACTTTACAGAGCACCGTTGAGCCCCAGGCACTGTGCTAAGAATTTGATAGTTTTCTTTGCAAACCTCATAATGTCCACAGGTGGGCACTCTTAGGCATCCCATTTTGTAGTGGACCTGGGTCGACTTGTTCAGGACGTTTGGACCCATAGGAATGGGTTCAAAGTGAAGCTGTGGACATGAGCCGACTGATTTTGGTTTTTGCTTGGAGGACTTTAATCTTAGTCTCTTTGGGTTACTGTAGCAAGATGCCCTAAGCAGGTAGTTTATAAAAATCGCGTTTATTTCCCCGGTTCTAGAGGCTGAAGTCTAAGACAAAGGCAGATTTGGTGTCTGAGAGCTTGTTTCTGTTCAGAGCCGGCCGTCCTCCTCCCTGTCTTCATGTGGTGGAAGGAGTGGAGACTTTGTTTTGGGCCTTTGAAGAAAGGGCAGTAACCCCATTCTTGAGAGTTCTGTCCCCATAAACTAATCACCTCCCAAAGGTCCACCTTCTGTGACCCTCACGAGCGTGTGAATTTTGGGGGCACGGACATTCAGACCATAGCAGCTGTTGTCACTTGCTGTCTCTCCCCTGGGCCGCTGTACATTTCCTTGGCAGGGGGAGGGAGCACTGTTGCCACCGAGACAGAGAGCATGGAGGGGGCCTGGCCTTCCAGGGAACAGGGATGCCTCATGGGGACGCTCACCCGCCTGCTGCCATGTTCCTGATGAGAACTTATAGCTTCTGAGTGCTGTCTGAGCAGGAAGTGAATGTGGTTGAACCACCGAAGCCTGCTGTTCTGAGGGGATGCGAGTGGCCTGCACTGTATCCACTCCCCACACAGCGTGCTTCGAGCTGCGATAAAGCTACCTACTTAGGCCTGCGCAGCACCTCCCACCCTGGCATGGCATACCTGTGCCAAGGCCAACCCTGCTGGACTGGGGGCCTCACCAACATCGGACTGTACTGTGCCCTTTTTCTCATTTCCAAGCTGGCCTTGCGCTCTTAGTCCCTGATTTTGTCTCTCTTGGTTTCAAAAAGTTTTTTTTTTTTTTTGGTGCTGGAGATTGAGCTCAGGATCTTGAGCTTGTGAGGCAGGTAGCAGAACCACTGAGCTAAATCCCCGGCCCTGGCTCTCTTGGTTTCAAATGTGAACACACAGCTTTTTGTTCCAGGTTCCTAGTGTTGTGCTGTGCTATGGGTCGGGTTTGAGGGGTTTCCTAAGCGCTCACTCCAGGTGTTTCTCCTGGTGCTGACCACGATGCAGGAGCCCTGGGGTGGCTGAGGAGAGAGGAGACCCCTGAGAGGGCTCCTGGGCTCAGAATGGCAACAGCCTTCTGGACACTGGTAAACCCACTCTGTCCCTGTGGTTGTACGTGGTACAGCCTCTGTGAGTTGACTTTTTCAAAAATAACTTAAGAAGAGGACAGGTTTATTTTGGCTCACATTTTTAATTTTTAAAATTTTCATAGTGCACGTTTGCAGTACACAATGATTACATTCTTCGTGGGGAGTTGGTCCATATATATATAAAACACATCTTTTTACTTCTAACCATCTCTTGGTCCCCTTCTTGTTTGCAAGAGTTGGCTTATCTTGTCTAGAGTACACCCTTGAACATGAAATAGTCATAGGTGGTACCAGACAGGAGAGTTAAGAGTCCATGTTGAAAATGAAACTGGGGAGGATTTAGAGTTAAGTTTTGTTGATTTTTTTTTAAAGCAGTTTAACCAATAAGGAAAAATGTGAGCTCTAACCTTTCTGTGGTCTTTATTTTTTCTTAAGTACAGAGTTCCTACTGTTCCTTGTACCATAAAACCAAATCCAAACTAAAAGACTCCCCCATTTAATTATAAAAGCATGTAGTTTGTACCATAAAATCCAGAAAAGTTTAAACGAAGAAAATCAATGGAAGATAATCCCTTCACTTAAATACAATTTGGTAGCTTCCCTTTTATTTCTTTCCTGGCCTCCTCTCCCTCCATTTTTTTTTTTTTTTTTTTTTTTTTTTTTTTCCGGCCCCCCCCCCCTTCCTTTTTTTTTTTTTTTTTTTTTTTTTTTGCAGTACTAGCGACAAAACCCAGGGACTAGTGCATGCTAGGCAAGTGTTCTACACTGTGATACGACTTTGAACTTTTTTATTTTAAGATGAGGGGCTTGCTAAGTTGCCCAGGCTGGTTTTGAACTTGGATCCACCTGCTTAGCTTCCTGAATCACTGGGATTATAGTCATGTTCCACCACGCAGGGCTTGTTGATATTCTCCTTCTCTCCCTCTCTCCCGCTCTCCTCCTCCCCCTCTCCCCCTCCCTCTCTCTCCCCCTC